ATTAATTTATGTTTTGTTCTTTGCAAATATCATTTGGAACCTAAAAAGATAGTCTGATTAGACAGATCCCAGCATTAGCAAGTGCTCAATTGGTGCACACAGGATCTCATTGTTGCCATTAGATGGATGCCTTCATTCACAATCGAGAATGGCATTATTGCTTGGGCAAATCCTAAGTTCCTCTGGAGCCATCAACAATTCTCAGAGTTCAACAATCCCTTTAGCTGTCCAAAGCCTTATCTACAGTGCAATATTTACATAATGTCAATAAAACTGAGGTAATCGAAACCAACACCTTCTGAAACCGAGACACACAGAATGCACTGGCCAAATCACAGCTCACTGGCCAATCATTGCTCACTGCAGCAGCACCTACCTGACTATGGTTTAAGTTAAAGCAAGCCTAGAGCTTTAACTTGGTGTATATTTCATGAGGCTGTTCGAAGGAAGTCTGTTCTTCCTTTCACACAACTCTTCTTCAGCCCATCCTTACATCTCCACTTACACTTTTCTCCTCTGTACATTTGCTGTGGATTTACTTAAACATTGCACAGTATGTTGTATTTTTGGTGAGATCTCAAGATAAAGGGATCTTGAGGGGGGAAAAAAAATGTTTCCTCGTCACCAGTCATAAATCATTGCTTTTCCCCTTGATTTGTGGATTCATTTTTCATAGGCATCCCCTAGAAGTGAGCTAGAAGACGGAGGAAGAAATCTTCTGAGTTCTGGGAACCCTGGTGTGACCCTCTCAGAGTTCAAGAAGTGTTTGGACAATACTCTTGGGTACATGGTGTGATTCTTGGGGATGGACCCATGCAAGGTTAAGAGTTGGACTCGATGATCCTTGTGGGTTTCCAACTCAGCATATTCTGTGATTCTGTGAGAAGCAGTAACTGTGTGGTAGCAGAACAACACTCAAAAAATACAGAGGCTTCTAGTAAACTGAGAAGCACAGAAGGGTTGGTGGAAGCAGATGCATGAGGTAGGCAATCCAATTCTGCAGGCTGGTAGGAGCTGGAGAAATAATAGAAGTGAACAAGGGCAGTAGAAAAGCCAGTAGTCAGTCTAATGCATGCATTACCATGTCTGTAGGTTATTTCTACAGTGGGTTACCCTTACTCCAGACTGCTAATAATATGCCCACAAGGCAGAGAAGGAATCAGTTCAAAAAGGATACTACCAATCCTTTCTGCTAACACAGTGACCTCAAAATGCCAAGAATTAATATGCTACTCATTACTCCAAGTAGTAACAACAACAGCACATCAGCACAACAGAATTTAAAAAAAAAACCTGCAAGAATCTTGAAGTAGATGGGGTAAGAGAGGGAATGGAAGGAATTTCCTAAAACCAGAGTGAAATAAAATGAATCTTTGCTTCCAGAGAAACAAAAATATCCAGCTGCTGCCCATAATCTGTCTTGCTTCCCAGGCTCCTTGATGGATACACAAGAACATCAAGGACACTAGTGACAATTGCTATGTAGTACCCAATAGGCCTGCTAGCAAGGCCAACAAGAAATGAGAAGGAAATAAAGATCTGTTCAAAGGCTTAGGGAAACAAGCAAGAGATACTACCTAAAACAGCACAAGGGCTTTTATGAATAAGAAACAGAAGGAGGAAGTATAAAGGGCTTCATCAAATTGAAATGACTTATCAAAACACTTACTATACTTACCACGCTGGTCTTGCACTACTAAAGGAGAGCCTTGCTGTACCTTAGTACTCAGATGCTCTCCTAGTTTCTAATATGCCAGGTGGCTACCCTGAGGACAGGCTAAAGCACTGAGAGTTAATGCACCAGCTCTTCTGAATCAAAAATTAAATTAGTTTTTAAAATTAAATTCCTCACATTGTTTCATTTGACCCAAACTTCACCCTTCTTCTTGAACCTTTACACTGGCTGCATTCTTTGAAGGATATTTTAAGTGTTTTTGCCAGACCTACAAGACATGTTGATTTTTAAAGCTAACTTTAAAAAGTTATTTTCTAACTTTAAAAACTAAAGTTTTCTAATTTTAAAAAGTATTTTCATTTCCTCTCTCTTCCAGAACGAAGTTTTTCTTGCTCCTTAAAATAAATACATATATTTGTGTCCGATATACGGCACGAACAGCCATCCCTTACCTTCTCCCACAACAGATGTGGTATGATTACAATACACTGCACACTAAAAAAGCATTTGCCATCTGAATTCATAAATTCAGGTGGAGACACTAACCAAGCTCTATATAACGGAAATGCTCCCACCCATTTATTCTAGCAAAAACTTCACGAGTACTGACAAGTGATTTGCAATTAAACCATTCAGTTCTCATTTAATAAAAGGGTTCCAAGTATCTTTGACAGTCACACATCTTCATGATTACATCACATCACTGTGCTGTTAAAATGATTCAAAACCTCAGGAGTGTACCCCAGAAGGTCCCCTTTGGAGGCCCTGTGCTATGTGAAAACCACCACACTCAGCAGCCACTCAAAGTGCAAGGGAAGGCACGTTTCCACGGACGTTCTCTGCCCTAAGGTGCACGAGACTTTCTTGATAACGTGCTCCAAACAAACAGAATTATGAACAGGGAATTATGAGCTGTTGCTCACATACCTTTTTGCCAGTTTGAGGTATGCTTTGATAACCAATGATATGTAAGTTCAAAGCTCCCTTCAAGGCACTGTATTAAAGTGCAAGATGATTCTTCCCAACTCATTATAGTATAACATAGGAGTATATATGTATATGTACACACACATACATATATATTTGTAACAGAAAAAAATGTATAGCAGAAACACCAAGAAACTACCAATTTGTAATGGAGAATTAAGGTTTAATAAGCATCTACAGTAATGTCCTTAGACTTCCTCTGGCAGTTGTAGTTATCAAAGTTATTATTAAATGATAAACAAGTGTGACCAATAACACAATTGGTTTGTGTTTATTTATACTTGTTACATTTTCTTTCCTAACTCTTTGATAAATGACACACTAGAACTACAAATAGGTTTGACAAATCTTCAATACAGGCATCTAAAATCAGCAAGGTTTGATATTACTTTGTACAGAGGTCCTAATGATGTGAACAAGGGCAAGACCATTTTTAGTTTCTATTAAATATTTTTTAAGTCATAAGAAAGAACTCATTTATAGGCTACAAACAGGGAATCTTCCTAACAAATATTATCTCTGCTGAAGGTGTTAGCTAGGAACACTAACTTCTCAATAAATTAAATAGAACAAAGTCAGTACAAAAGCCTGGTTAGCACTGCACAAATGAAGCACCAGGAACTGCTTACAAGTGCTAAATACCCTTAATTTTTTATAGAATCATAGAGTTATTTGGGTTGGAAAAGATGGTTACAAGATGTCCCATCTACAAAGTCTCTGGACAACACGTTCCTGTGTCTCCCCACCCGCACAGTAATGAATCTCTTCCTTATATCTTGCATAAACCTACCCTCTTTTTATCTCAAAATATTAGCCCTTGTTCTATCTCTATAGGCCCTGGTAAAATGTCTCACCTCATCTTTCTCATAAGCCCCTCTTAAATACTGAAAGGCAGCAGTAAGGTTTCTCTCATAAGGCAGATAGATAGTTCTACATTAAAGTTGCCTGACATTCCCTCTTATAAGCTCCATTTTTTAATTGCTTGGGAATCTAATTAATTGTTTGTAAGATTTTGAAGTGAGATTTTCTTCACATCGATTACATGTTCCTGACAACCTGTGAGAAACTAGACAAACTACAAATCTCAATTGGCATGGTTTCCTTACACTCAACAGAAGCAAAGTCCAGAGCTGCATTTCCAGAAGATGCATCTGCAGTGACTTCTACATACAGCCACAGAGCTTTTCCAGCTGCAGCTCTGGCCTATAATGGGACAGCCCAGAGCAGATTTTGTTTAGCAACAGTAATGAATCCTTTTCCCTTGTTTTCAGACCCTTTCCACTGTTGCTGGATCCAAGCTTTAAATCTAAAGGGGGCAAAATGATGGACTGAATAAATTAAGAGAAAGCAAAGAGTGAAAACTGTGACTGGGCACTGGCAGGAGAGCATTGACTAGAGCAGAACCAGATGAGAGAATGACTGATCTCTCCTTAGTATTAGAGATCTGAGAAGAAAAACTCTGGAGATCAGTAAAGGGAGATTAGATAAATAGCCACATGAGAAGACTGCAACTCACTAGACAAAGTGATTAAAAGCAGGATATTAAATACCCATCTAACAGTTTATAATGGTAAAACAAACAAAATAGCACTGAAAGTGAGACAGAAAGAGACAGGGAGGGAGTCTGGAGGGATGGGCTATGACTTTCCTGGTGCTTAGCAAGGAGGCTGAGACTTAGATGAGAAATCTGTAAACAGTCTTAGGTGGGTGGATGACAAATAGAAACTGTGCTTCCAGTATGTGCTTTGAGCAACTTATAACAAAGATTCAAAACCAAGAGGCCCTTGATGTTGACTCAGACACTCAAAACTTCCCAGTGCATTGACCTTCATCTCTCTGTACTCTATTTTTCCTCTGTAAAATGGGAACAACACAGATGTCAACTCCCAGCTGTATTTCATGACCATCACTGAAAATCCTCAAAAAGAGCATTTTTTCAGAAGAACATCAAATAGTATATTCATAACATATTCACTCAATAGAGGAAAAAAATTGAAAAAGTTTTATCACTTGGAGCCAATAAGGCCAATGGTATCCTGGGGTGCATTAAGAAGAGAATTGCCAGGAGGTTGAGGGAAGTGATCCTTCTCAGCCCTGTTGAGGCCTCATCTGGAGTGCTGTGTCCAGCTCTGGGCTCCTCAGGGTAAGACACAGATCTCCTGGAATGGGTCCAATAGAGAGTGACAAAGGTGACTAGGACACTGGAGCACCTCTTTTATGAGGAAAGGCTGGGGTAGCTGGGCCTGTTCAGCCTCAAGAAGAGATGACTGAGAGGGGAACTCATCAATGTCTATCAATATCTGAAGGGACAATGCCAATGGAATGGAGCCAGGCTCTTCTCAGTTGGAGGTTGGACCAGATGACTTTCTGTGGTCCCTTGCAAGCTTACCCATTCTGAAATTCCACGATTCTGTGACATTATAACACGGATGAGTAAGAAACCTGGAATGCTCAACACAGTATGCTATGAATCGGCTGGAATAATGCATTCACGCAAAACGCTCCTCGCCCCAGCCGGCGCGACCCAGAACAATCCTGCTCCGCTCCACCTGCAGTGGTGGCCGCTCAACCAGCGCTCCTCGGCTGTAGTGGGCAGCAAGCTGGTAACAGCGCACCTGCCGTAGGCAGGGCCCCCACCAGCAGGCTCAGGGCCGTAAGTGGAGGGGGTGAAGCGCCGGGTGCGCCGGCACCTGCTCCGCCCCGGCACCGGCCGAGTGGGACGTGAGGCGACGCGTATCACCAACCGCCTGCCCGCGAGGGCTGTGGGGAACCGCCATTTTGCGGGGCGGCGAGCGGACCCGCCCGCCAGACCCTCCCCCCATTTCAGGGACAGCCCCGCCGCCCTTCGCCTGGGACGGGCCCGACCCGACCGGGCTCCGCCCGCCGCCTGGCTGGTCTGAGCCCTGGCCGCGCCTTCCGCCCTTCGCCGCTCAGGTATCAGGTGAAACTGGTCGGCAGTGCAGGCGAAGCGGTAGTGGCTGGCGCGCGGCGAGAGCATGGCTGTCCGTCGCGGCTTGTGCCTGCTGCTGGTCTCTGCGATGCTGGGGGCCGCCACCGCTGCAGGTGAGATGAGCAGCTGCTGACGGGGACCAGAGCCTTCCGCCCGGCTGGGACCAGCGGGGGCGGCCGATCCCATTGAGGGTGCCGTGCTGGCCGCCCCTCAGCTGCGGGAGAGATGAGGACGGGGGCACAGCGGGGCTGGTGTCTGGACCCGGGTGGGATGTGAGGACCCCGGAGCGGACTGGGAGACGTTCCCGCGGAGTCGAGCGGGTTAGGAAAACTCGGGCGGGTGGCAGTGGGGCTGCCGGGAGCCGCGGGACGGGCTCCCTGACGGTGGGGAAAGCGCTCCACGGGCGAGCAGCTGAGCGCGGCTCCCTCCCGGCCCCCGCAGGGCTTGTGGGGCGCGCGTGGCTTGGCTTCACCCGCTGTAAAGAGAACCGCAGGATGGCCTGGGTTGGAAGGGACCGTAAAGACCGTCTAGTTCCAAACCACCTGCCATGGGCAGGGACATCTTCCAGTAGACCAGGCTGTTTAAAGCCCCATCCGACCTGGCCTTGAACACTGCCAGGGATGGGGCATCCACAACTTCTCTGGGCAACCTGTTCCAGTGCCTCACCACCTTCACAGTGAAGAATTTCTTCCTACTATTCAGTGTAAACTCTCTTTAAACTCTCTTTCAGTTTAAAGCCATTCCCCCTGGTTCTGTCACTACAGCCTCTTATAGCCCCCCCTTTAGATAAACAAAAAAACTATAAAGACCATGTTTTTGCTTTTTACCCAGCTCTGAAAAGCTAGGGGTTTTTTTTCTTTATTAGTCTATATTGAACATAAGTGCTGTTTGGGGAAAAACCAAACCGCCATATTAATATTTCACTGCCATAAAGTTAATTTTTCACTACCTTTTATAATAAACTCCATTGCCATATCTACACATGCCCTTTGCACTGTGTCTTTCTATTCTTTATTCTGGGCTTATTTACATAATAAAAGCATATGCGTAAAGGTTGTGTAAATATTGAAGCCAAGCGTATGATAGGTCCTGTTTTCTCAAGGTATAGATTCTAGATTTGTGTTTTTCAGAGCGGGGTTCCTGAAACTAAACTGCCTTATAATAGCCTAGTTCTCTGATCTGGGTGGGGTGAGGAGTTTGGAATTTTCAGAGGAGAGGGGAGAGGGAAAAGAAGTATGCTTGGAAGTTCTAACTGGGTACTTGATTTCCTGGAGTAGGGAGGTGAAATGAGGTGAAGTGTGATCCCACCCCAGCCAAGGGAGATGTACTAAGCCAGAAGCTTATTGCGGCAGTTTTCAAACAGGCTGATGCCATTACGGCGTTGTGGTGAATATGGGTTGCAGATCCAAAAACCGGGGTGATCTTAACCTTAGTCCTGTGTGGTTATTACTACCATGACCTAAGCTAGGTTATTTTTGGATACTCAGTGCTGCTGTCGCTTTTGTGTCTGCAGGGTAGCCATAATCCTGCGTTTGGTATGTAGTGGGTTGTATCCTCTGGACAACTGGCAAAGGTGTTGAAACAGTCTTTTGTGGGAGGAGAGTACGCTTTTCCCGTGGGCAGATTAGCAAATCAGCTGCATTCTCTGTGTGTGAGTCAAGCATGGTGAAATTCGGCTTGGAAAAGAGCTCGATTGTTATGGAAAACGACAAGTGCTGAAAGAGTAAGGAAGGGATGTAGAAAATGCACATACCTAACAAAGGATTGGCTGTTCGGTGAGGGAGTGTTAACAGCAAAGAAACAGGACACTGACTCCCTATTGCTAGTTGGGCTGACAAAAGCTGACCACTGTCTGTAGTCAAAACTTTTGAGGCTCGAACTAAAGTCAGCATAAAATCAAGACTTGATCTCGCAATTCACCCCTTTAGTTTGACTGTGTCTTAAAAAATAGAATAAAACAAACCTTTGTCTTTCTTCTGCTAGCCTTGCAATCCTAAGTCCTGTCTATGGTTCATGTATCTATCCATCCATTCACTTTAGTACAGTTCTTACTGTAGTGTGTAACACTAACTAACTTTGGGGGTTTTGGTGAGCTTTTTTTTTTTTAAACCTAACCTTTGAACATCAATTGCAAAGCATTGTTTTATATCTGATCACAAAACATCAATAAGAACAAAGTGGTAGTATTTGCTCTTTAGTTTTCTACAATAATTTGAGTCTTTGAAATGGAATACAAATAGTGTGACTGCAATTTGATAATATCGACCACTTTCTGATGGACATGTGCTTAACATAGCATTGTACACGGCATTTTATTATGGTATCCTGAGAACTGCTACCAGCTTGGAATAAAGGGTCTGTTTCCAAGTATCTCCATGATCTTTCTCAGCTGAGCTGTAAGGCTGAGAAAAGTGGCATTGCTTAGCTGGTTATCATTTCAATGTCTGATATCTGCATAAGCTATGTCCTTCAAGCTGGTTTTATGGCTTTTCCTATTCACAGCTTAGGTTAGGGACCTGGGATATTGCTGCATTACACAATTAAACTTTCCAGTCTTTAACAGTATTGCTGGTGTAATCAAGGAGCTTGAAGATCTGAGAGCAGGATTTATATAATTCTGCCTTGTTTTAATTACACTCCATATAGACCAAAATGACTGTTTGGCGGTTGAATTAATTTTCTTTAGGACAGTTGTTTGGTCAGTGTTCATGAAGTCTACTGGAAAGACTTGACTATGTCATTGTACTGGCAAAAAGTTTTCTTACACCTCAGTTTTCCAGTGAAGACTGCCTGGTCCTGGAGATTGGCAAATGCTGAAGTGGATCTAGGGTAACTATTCAAATTATTCAAAAATTCAAATGTCTAAAGAACATCAATATATACTGTACATCAGACTTTTGCAGTTACAACTGAAAAGAAACAGCAATCCAAAGTTGGGCTACTTTTGAGAATCTATGCTGGGAAACACACATACTTGTGTATTTACATATTTCTTAAGTAAAAATTCTTTCAAATTTAAGGTGTAAGCATTTTTTCAGTGTGGAACTGTATCAAAATTCTACTGAATAACAAAGGGGTTATCCTTGAACACTCTTCATGGCTGTGGACTGTTCAGGTACACAAACCTGCTTTGCTCAAGAAGACTCTCCTTTATAACTCCAGTTGGGGAGGGGGGTAGGGAATTTTGGCCGAACAAATCCACAAATATTGAGAGAAACTGAGTTAAGGTTAAAAATAATTCTCCCAAAACCAGTCAACTTCCATGTCCATACAGTTTAGCTCAGTGGATATCTGAGTTTTTGGATTGGTGCAAGTTCAAGGACATTGTCTGCTTCTGCAGTTTAACCTGTCAGCAGGAGAGGGCTGTATTGTGTCTGCAGGGGTTTTGAACTGGGCTGTCAGAAGGCTGTCCTATACAACACAGCAGTCAGGAACACCTGGCTCACCCATGTGGTTTGTAAGTTCCCATGGCATTCAAAGAGGCAGAGCAAAACTTGTAGTACAGCTGTCTTATGTATGAAGCAACCGTAGCTGTCAGCTCTGCCACCTGGCACTTTGAGTAGAAATTGCAGAGATTGTCTGACTGTCTTACCTGTGAATTGGAAGGAGATCCCAGATGACTGGCCCTATTGCATCTTCGTGCACAGAGTTAGTATGTTCACGTTTCAATTCAGATACAGTAAAATATGCATTTTTCCCTACACTTGTGCATAGCTTTGGGTATTTCATTCTGAGTTTCAGTTCTAGCTTGTCTGAAGGTAACACTCTTATTTTACTGCATACCTGATTTTCAGGCCATCTAAACTGGGGAAGCTTCTGTTGCAATTATGTTAGCCTGCTGCAAAGTTTTATAAATCCCACCACTCGGGCAATCTGGCACTGCTATATGGAAAGCTAATGGAGCCCTGGGGTACTTCAAGTACTTTCTGCTGTAACTGTTCAGGTGGTAGGAGCACCTGATAGCCCATTTAATAAGGCTTTTTAATATCACTGGTGACATGGAAAAGCATATTGGTAGAATACTTGAATAAGGATACAGGTTGTCTTTTGGATAATAAAACAAAGGAAAGATAAATTGTCAAATGTTTGAAAATTGGTCTTAATTTTTCTGTTGATAAAGCCATCTTTAAATGTTCTGAGTAAATCACTATATCTAGTTTATTTTTTAAGAGAACAAGAAGTCTGTACTTCAGTAACAGCAATGTCTTATTTTTTTAATTTTAGAGAACAGTGGAGCCGGCAGTTCAAAAGGAAGAAGTTTCGCTGGTCAGAAAGTTACAAATGCAAATAATTCTGAAGAGTCATACAAAGTGGATGAATTTGCAGCAGAAGTCCTCAGGGGAAAGCTGACTACAGTTTTTCTTCCCATTGTCTATATCTTTGTCTTTATAGTTGGTTTGCCAAGCAATGCTGTGGCCCTCTGGGTCTTTTTTTTCCGAACAAAGAAGAAACATCCAGCCGTGATTTATATGGTTAACTTGGCATTGGCAGATCTTCTTTTTATTGTCTGGTTTCCACTGAAGATTGCATACCATCTAAACGGCAATAACTGGCTATTTGGTGAAGGTCTCTGCAAAGTACTTGTTGGATTTTTCTATGGAAATATGTACTGTTCCATTCTCTTTATTACATGTCTGGGTGTACAACGGTATTGCGTTGTAGTGAACCCCATGGCACATTCAAAAAAGAAAGCAGAAATTGCCTTGGGTGTCTCCATTGCAATCTGGATACTGATTTTGTTGGGCACCATTCCATTGTATCTTGTTAATCAGACGGTATATATTTCAAATCTTAACATCACTACCTGCCATGATGTGTTGCCTTATAATGTTTTGGCTCATGATATGTTCAGTTATTTCCTCTCACTTGCAATTGGATTCTTCTTAATCCCAGCTATCGTCACTGCTGTCGCATACATACTAATGATTAAGACTCTGAGTGCCTCCGTCATAGAAGATGGGAAGAAACGAATAAGAGCAATCAAACTCATTATTGTTGTCCTGTCCATGTATCTCATCTGTTTTACACCTAGCAATGTGCTGATTATTGTGCACTATTCGCTCCTCAAAGGCTACGGCCAGAGCTATATGTATGCATGGTACATAATTACGCTGTGCCTTTCCACTTTGAACAGTTGTATTGACCCATTTGTCTATTATTATATTTCAAAAGACTTTAGAGACAACCTTAAATATGCTCTTATTTGCCGAACTGTACGAACAACACGGAGGATGCAAGTGTCTCTCTCATCAGGCAGATACCCCAAGAAATCAGATTCTTACTCTTCAAACCTAAGTAGGACCAATAAATCAACCTACTGAGTTTAATCTTAGAAAAGTGAACTTTTAATAGTACTGATGAAAGGATGTGAGTCACAGTAGAATTATTTTGTACAAGAGAGTCTGAAGAAACGTTTCTGCATTTTAATTACATTGAAGACTGGGGGGAAAAAAAGACATTTCAGATGCTTTGCGAAAATGCTGCTGACCTAGAAGTGAATTGTGGTTGAAGACATTTTTGTTCAATATAAAAGTTTTTAAAAAGCAAAATGTCTCTGGAATGTTATGTAGTGTTATTAGTGTATTTCATTAACAGATAAATCTGTTTTGTTTAATGTATTAAGCAGCTGAACAGATTCTGTTTGTAGGACCTTGCTCTGTGTACCTGCTTACACTGAAAATCATTTGAAGCTGTAGAGAGAAGAAAGAAGAGGAGAATCCATTTCACCATCTTGGTGTAGACTGCTTATTATCTTTAGTATAATGTAATTTTTATATTGTTTTCCAAGTTACAGTGCTGTAAATACTAACAATGCAGAACCTTATAATGTTACCCTATTAAGTTGATAAGCTGAACTGGTTATCAGCTAGCACTGGGATAAAATGTTAGTTGAGATTATCCACTGTTACTTAACACTTGCCAGTACACAATCTAAATGGGGATATGTAGCAAAATTTTGATGAATAGCAGTTTGATTTTATGTAATATGTCTTGTATTTTTTAAGATATCTAAATAAGATTTTTTTATAACACATTTGAGTTGGATGCTTTCTTTTATTCTTTTACATGCACTTCAGAATGTTGAGTAGTTCAACTTGCCTGGCTTCATGTAACAAAGATATTATTCCTAACAGTGAATTAGAAACATGACAACTGTAACTGTAATGTCTAAATGGGTAAACTCGAATTTACCTAATGATGCATTTCTTTAGAGAGCCATGAAAGTAGTATGTTTTGTGATGGTATTTCAGAGGACTAAGCTAAAATAGCAATGTGTATTAACATATGTCTCATTGAGAAGCAGAGAGTTTACAGCTCTTAAGATGACATAGAACACAAATGCTTCTTGGGCATAAACAGTTTTCTCTTCCTGTTTCCTGACAAATGCAAGGAAATAACTGTGTATTATTGAACTGAAGGTATTATGCAGCATCCTTACTGGAAGATAACTACATAAGAGGCCATAGTTTACTGGAAGGATTTGGGATGAAGAGAGTTGCACCAGCTTCACAGAAGGCTGTGTAAACTCTTCCCTCACACTGTGTGTGATAAACAGAATATCAGAATGTCCCTTATCTTGCTAAACAGCCTGCTCCATATATGGTAGTCAGTAATATGAAGAAAGAGCATCCAGTTCATGTTATTACAGCCCTACCTGTGCTATGTCAGGAATCCAAGGGTTACAGGTTGTAAAGATGAGAAATTATCTCTATATGTCTATATAATACCACAAAGAGATTGCTTATGATTCATGGCTAAAAAGTAGTATGCTTAATATAGCCAGTCTTTTGGGGGACAAGATTTATTTCTTGTCATTATTTAATCAGAAGTACAACAAGCACTGTTTATATATCTATACTCTCACTGTTTCATTCCTGTCAAATAATCAGACAACTCCATTGCAGATCATGTAAGGAGAGTGCTGATGTTCTTGTCCATTTCTCCCTATAGCCTTCATCTGCAGATCAGCAAAGCAGGTTGCCAGGAAGGATCTTTCTTGCCTGCAGCAACAGTGAAGGTACATGACTAAGACTTAGATGGTACTACAGTATGTTGGAAGCTTTTTGCGAAAAAAGTTTTAATTAATACAGTGATTTATTTTAAAATGAGGTTGTACGATGTGTGACAAATTTTGGAGAATACTACTCAAGGAGCCCACAGTCGTTTAAGTGAAGGTTTCCCCCTATTAGCTCCATTGCAAATCCCTATCCTGAATTTAGCACAAATTATTTTGGTCCAATTAACAGAGCAGGTAGACCAGGCTGGTTGTTCAATCAATTTGAATCAGTTCCTTCAATTGAAAATTGTGTGCCTACACAGCCAGATAGCAATAGGGTAAGAACATGCCTGGGAGCATGGAGCTGGTTGATAAAACCTTTTTTGGGACAGTTGTACCCTTGGACAGGGTTGTTTGGTATCAAGGTGATCATCCTCAGCTTACAATAAATATATTCTTGAACAGTGACAACTGTGCAATTCAGACACCAAGAGTTAAAAAAAGCTCTCCCTTCCTGTGGCTGACTGAAGCATTGGATGCTAAAAAAAAAAAGAAAATAAATTAGTGCAACATCCGTGAAAGCATCCGGGAATTGGAAATCAGTGTGCACGGTGTCAAGGTTTCACAAGCAACTCAAGTACATGCTGCAGCTAAGAGAAGTAGAATTAGTTTCCCCCCTAACCTGCCTCTGTGATCACACTGTTCTCTTATACTGTCACAAACGCGTGACCTTGGGATAGATTGGATCATTTCTGAGTTAAAGTTAAACCAGGAGGAGGGAGGAAAGTTTACTTCTGACTTGAAACAGCGTTTGGCTGGTTTGCTGGATGAGCTTTTGGCTCAGCACAAGAGAGAGGCTCAGAGTGTTTTGTTTCACCACCAACACAGGCTTGCACCGTGCAGGTGCAAGGCAAATTGAAGTACAGCTGCTGCAAAGCCTCTTCCTAACCTCCTAAGCAGCAGGGAGCAAGCCTCCACCCATGACTGTAAGAATGGCTCTGCTCAGGCTGAGGGTGCATCCAGCTCAGCCAGAGTAATCTTCACACCTGTGCCTCTGAAGGTCAGGAAGACAGCAAGGTGTGAAGGGACTTGTCAAAAAAACAGTAGGACTTCTGCACAAGGCACCTGGCTGGCATACCAGCTGCACAGATGTGGCCAGCACCATTTGAGTGCTGTGCTATGGGACAGTGGAAATGTGCTCTGAAGTTCAGGAAAACAGGAGTCAAAGGCTGAAGAGCTGAGCTCATTGTCCTCTGTGAGAAAAGCTGCTGCCGAGAAGGACTGATCTGTGACAAAGAGTGTGCATAACAGCAAAAGAAGTTGGACACAGGTACCCAGGCAGGAGTGAAAACAGTGCAGCCACGCATCACATCCCGCATGATACTCTCCCAACATCCACCTATTTTCAGCATAACAATTTCCTTAAGTCCCATTTGGATGGTCTACTTAGTAGTGCCTGTTGGGCGTCTTGTCAACTTCAGTTTATTCACTTTGAATGAGAATCCACAATCTTCATTTGGTGGCCCCTCATTCCTAAAGCAGAAGAGAGTGTGAATGAGTCCCTAACTGTCTTGTCCATCCACTTGAAATTTTGTAAGGCAGTATCATATCCCCTCTCAGGTACTTTCCACATTGATGTGTCCTAGCCAATTCCTTTCAGGTCAGCCACTCTCAGTGATAGTCTAGTCTCCATTCTGAGACCTACCCGTTTCCATACAGAGTCTCCAAACTATACACAATATTCAAGCTGTGGATGGTACGGTGATGGCTTCTGTTTTGCTCCGTGTTGCTTCCATAATAGCCCCTCATATTCAATGTTTGCTTTATTTTTTTTCTCCTGCTCCTTGGCATTGAGTTGATGTTTTCATGCTTGTAACTACATCCCTCTCTTGATTGGTTACAGTAATTTTACAAGCCATAGTTCTGTATGCCAAGTTAGGATGTTAACAGCAGACTTTTGTTTAACAGTGCTCAACCCTCTTCAGGCCATTTATGAATGTGCAGAACAGTACAGGTCTGGCACCACCCTGGTGAGTAATTTGCATTGTGAAGACTGACTGGTTTTCTGCTACTGTGTATTTCTTCCCTTTTAAGCAGTTACTTTTACACAAGAGGACCTTCCCTTTTATTCCATGGCTGCCTAGTTTTCTTTGAAAGCCTTTGATCAGAAATTTTGCCAAAAACCTTTTGGAAATCCAAGTAGACTGTATATGCTGGATCACCCTTGTTCCCACTTATGTTTGACCTCTTCCAAGAACTCCACAGAGTTGTTAAGTCCAGACTTCTCTTTACAAAAGCAGTGGTGGCTTTTCCCCAAAAGGTCCAGAAGTTCCTTACTGATGTCCCTTCTTAGACTCTTCACTAACTGCTCAGTACAGACATTGAGATCTCAGAACTGTATTTCCCTGGACACCTCAGTACCTGCTTTTAATTGTTGATTACAGCATTGGTTCCCAGTATTCAAGTATAATTTTGGCAAGAGATAACACACTTCTGTTACTAATTCAGCTGTTTTGTCCCAGTTTTCTCAGAACTTGAATACCGCAGGGCCCCCAAGTTTAGCACTCATTTTATCTGACTCTGGTGTGGTGACTGAAGACATTTAACACATTGTGTTGATGTGTAGCTGTCTGGGAATCAAGCAGCCTGCCTGCCTACCATAGCAGCTATTTGGGACCCAGGTTTCATTACGCGTGCATTTGATCTGTCATAGGCCCTTTGAACACAGTTAATAAACAGCATCACGGTTAAATACAGCATGAACATAGTAGTGATTCAACAGCCAGGAGTTTTACCTATGCGTTTTTTCTCAGGAGTGATAACCTTCTTTAGGCTTGCAGGTAGACATTCTCCAGGCACTATTTGCTAGCAGGACCAGTACAACAGGCTGACTACATAGTCAGCTCTCTGACATCTAGGCCAAAGTAGGTGGAGATGCTTCAGATAATGGAGAAAAGACTGGTGATTGTGAAGGGTGCATGGAATGCTGTGCAGAGATAGTGTGACAACTCCCTTTGATCCATAAGGAGTCACTGATCCAGTGGTAGCTTTTGTGACTTGGACTTTTCAGCCACTGAAGTATGCCTGAAGCCAGCCTCCGTGGTGGTCCAGCCAGCTCCTTGGTTGCCAGGAAAAAGGGGAAAGGTGTGTCTGTGTGTACATGGAGTAGGTAGGTTTACAGCTGCACTGGAGTTCAAAAACCACCTGGGATTGCTTCTGTGGTACAAACACCAGAACAGAGCTCAACAGTACCAAGATCTACCTGGTATTATCTGTGACTCTGTCAGACCCAAGCTCCAGTGTCAATGCTTCAATATTGATGCAGCATTCCAAATGCAAAGATAGCTAAAATGTGTTCACTCTGGGTACTGTGCTTTCCTGTACCAGCTGTTGAATGCTATGTGCAACTTGTGCCAGCCTAATGCTCACCTGAATATTGTGTTTTGCCAGAGCATAAGAGCATCCACAGGAGAGAAGCAGTGAAATCTCTGATCACCAGAGCCTTAGCGTAGCTGTAACCCAGAGACTGCACCTTTCTCGTAAAACCTGCTACGTCTGGTCTGTGGGATTTTTATGGTGGTGTAAAGCAGAGTCCTGCTGCTAAAGTTATGTCTGCATTTGGAGTGCTTCTCCAGTGCATTGGGGTGGTTGCAGACATGGACTAAGCCTTGTTCCTTTGTTTTGAAGGTGTTAATAATATGCAGTAGAGAGTTAATGGGCACTTGTATAATGCCCATTGTATAATGGGCACTTTGTATAACTGCACAAAGTGCAGTTAATGGGCACTTGTATAATGAAGCAAGACAACAAAATGTGGGAGGAGAAGAAAAGCCTAAATTTGACCAGTCTAATTGTGGAAGTTAGGAGAAATGCCCCAATAACAACTCTCAGCTCTATCAGTAGGTCACCTCTAGTTATTACAGCTCCCATGACGTGTCAGTTAATGCAGACAGCTCTGTGGAAACAGTGGACAAAAGTTGTCTGTATATTATGGCAGTTCTAAAAATCAATGATTAGTAATTCTTAAGGCAGGATTTTAATTGCCAAACCTTGTCTGCAAAGGTGGCAAAGTGCTCTGGCTCAGAACAAGCATGAGTGACATGAGTGGATATCTCACTTGCAGTTAAGAGCTACATTTGGTTAAGCCACTGCACTCCGGCTTTGTGCCTCAGCTTCAAGAAGCAAACTTCTGGGAACTGAGAGTTCAGCATGTTTGAGCCTGAACTGCATTCATTTGATAACACTCTCCCCACTGACCCCCCTTACAGACAGCACTTGCCAGCTCTCAGCCACTGGCAGGAAGAAATGCATGGCTGTGTAGCAGCGCAGAACACCATCAGCGTTCATGTATTCTCCACACTGAGTCTGAATTCAGGACAGTATGTCCTCCTGGTGTTGTGGTTTACAGCTGGGTCTATGCTTCCCCGGTTGGATGACTGTGATGGGGACTGTGCTGTC